ATCTCGTGATGCTGTCCTGGAAGACGTTATGGGAAATGTTATTGGGTGAATGAGTCGTGACTTATTCATATGCAAATATCACAGTTGAGACTATTTTCAGTGGGGGGCCAGTAGCCCCTATCCTAATTTTGGTTGTCCCTGTCTGCCTCACATCTTTCTGCTGCCATGAAACCTGGACACAACCATTCAAAACCTGGACTGTCCAGGTGAATCCTGGACAGGTGGCAACCCTAGATGTGAAGGGGGAGCCCCACTTTTTTGAGTGGGGTCCCCCCTTAAAATCCATTACATTGTAGACTGGGGTGCCTTGAGATTTTTCATACTTAACCACTTGCTGCCCAGAGCAATTTCTTTCTATGCACACAGAATTGTTGCTAGAAAACAGCTTCCCCCAAGCAATTATATATTTTCTGAAAGCAGAGGCCCTGTAGAATAAAAAAAATGCTAGATGCAATTTTGTGTCGCATGGTATTTGCGCAAATGTTTATCAAACCAGTACTTTTACGATAAAATACACTAAAATGAAATTTAGCGCACAGAAACATATGATACCCGATTTTTTGCTAAAATATGAAAGGGTCACGTCATGTAAATTAGATATCAAACATGTCGAGCCTTAAAATTGCGTTCGCCCGTGAAACCACAAAAAAACTACAATGCCCCAAATTTCCCATAGGTGATGCTTTAAAACAGCGGTAGCAAGCTGTGGTGAAACTACAAATCCCTTGATGCATCTCTATTTGGGAGTCATGTCTGTGGCAGTGAGAATCTTGCAATGCCTCATGGGATTTGTAGTTTCACCACAGCTGGGGGGCCGGAGGTTTGCTACCCCTGCTTTAAAAGCTTTTCCTGCTCATCAGTTTAGTGCTAAGAGTGATTAATGGCTCTAGAATGATTGCTCTCACTCCGACATGTACATATGTGTAACGTGCACAATTTTAGTTTTTGCACGCAGTAAACTATACCAACCCTGCAGCAGCAGCAGCCATACTCTTGGTATAACCACTTTACGTGAACCCGCTTGAAGTGGTTTTCGATTGAATGAAAGTATTGTTAGGTCTGTCTTCTAAGTTGCTATCAATAAAGATCTTATTTAAATACTGTTTTGGTAAAAATTATTTTTTTGTATCGGGACAAGTAGATTGGCCCCTGCTTTAGTCCTTGGACAAGTGGTGTGTTTTCTTTTTTTTTTATTTCAGCACCAATGCAAAACCTACGTTGCCAAACCCATGGAAACAACCTTTTCTTTTTAATCATCTGTCTTAATTCAGGATATTTTTGCCTACTTACTGTATGGGTATTGACACAGGAAGTGAGGGGAAATTTCCCCAATGTTCAGATGGCCATAAAAACCTAAGAGGGATTCCAGCCCTTCCCTGTGGTTTCCAAAACTAACTGGGTAGAGGTGCACCGAAACCGAAATAAAAAAAATTGTCACCGAAAATGTTTTTTATTTGTTCAATTTTTTTCAATATTTTATTTTTTATCCGATTAACCGATTAATCGAACTTAATAATCGGCTAACTAATCGATTTTGAAAATAATCGTTAGCTGCAGCTCTACACTTCCCATTCATTCATAATTAAGGATATAGTAAATATTAGAGGTGCACCGAAATGGAAATTTTAAAACCGAAATTTTAAAAATGTTAGGCCGAAACCGAAAATGTTTTTTATTTGTTCAATTTTTTTCAATATTTTATTTTTTATCCGATTAACCGATTAATCGAACTTAATAATCGGCTAACTAATCGATTTTGAAAATAATCGTTAGCTGCAGCTCTACACTTCCCATTCATTCATAATTAAGGATATAGTAAATATTAGAGGTGCACCGAAATGGAAATTTTAAAACCGAAATTTTAAAAATGTTAGGCCGAAACCGAAAATGTTTTTTATTTGTTCAATTTTTTTCAATATTTTATTTTTTATCCGATTAACCGATTAATCGAACTTAATAATCGGCTAACTAATCGATTTTGAAAATAATCGTTAGCTGCAGCTCTACACTTCCCATTCATTCATAATTAAGGATATAGTAAATATTAGAGGTGCACCGAAATGGAAATTTTAAAACCGAAATTTTAAAAATGTTAGGCCGAAACCGAAAATGTTTTTTATTTGTTCAATTTTTTTCAATATTTTATTTTTTATCCGATTAACCGATTAATCGAACTTAATAATCGGCTAACTAATCGATTTTGAAAATAATCGTTAGCTGCAGCTCTACACTTCCCATTCATTCATAATTAAGGATATAGTAAATATTAGAGGTGCACCGAAATGGAAATTTTAAAACCGAAATTTTAAAAATGTTAGGCCGAAACCGAAAATGTTTTTTATTTGTTCAATTTTTTTCAATATTTTATTTTTTATCCGATTAACCGATTAATCGAACTTAATAATCGGCTAACTAATCGATTTTGAAAATAATCGTTAGCTGCAGCTCTACACTTCCCATTCATTCATAATTAAGGATATAGTAAATATTAGAGGTGCACCGAAATGGAAATTTTAAAACCGAAATTTTAAAAATGTTAGGCCGAAACCGAAAATGTTTTTTATTTGTTCAATTTTTTTCAATATTTTATTTTTTATCCGATTAACCGATTAATCGAACTTAATAATCGGCTAACTAATCGATTTTGAAAATAATCGTTAGCTGCAGCTCTACACTTCCCATTCATTCATAATTAAGGATATAGTAAATATTAGAGGTGCACCGAAATGGAAATTTTAAAACCGAAATTTTAAAAATGTTAGGCCGAAACCGAAAATGTTTTTTATTTGTCCTCCCGGCTGGGACACAGAGCAGCGCCCAGCCGGGAGGAAAGAAATCACGGATGCGCCGATGTAGTGGCAGGACAATGACACTTTCGGCATTATGCCAAAAGTGCAATTTTCAGCCGATATGTTTCGGCGGCCGATATATCGGTGCATCCCTACCCACGGGGGTTATTCACAAAAGGGTGAAGAGTTTGGAGAAGTGAATTAGAACCTACGCCAACATAGCTGATTTAGAAAAATTCTCCAATTCGGCTCACTTCCCAGTTCAGTTATGTTGTCCTAGATTGGTCACTTCTCCGGCCTTCTCCAAACTCTTCACCCTTATGTGAATGACCCTGTAAATGTTACATTTTTCTAAGAACAAGCTCATTTTAAATCTACAGTGTACTACAAAAAAAAATGCAGGTTTCTTAAAATGTGTTTTTGTAGTTTTGGGTAGGGAAGGGTTACCCTCTTATGGGGTGTATCAATTCTGCTGTCTGTGTATCGGTGAGGACATTTTGTACACTCCCTCTCCTGGAGGAACAGGAAGTAAGAGGAAATCTCCCAAAGTGAAGGCAATTCTCCTCTTTGACAGGTGTCCCCATTAGAGGATTCCCCCCTAACTCATTCTTTGTTCCACATTTGCTTGCGTGTGAACCTACACAAATGAGGAAAGTGCGTTGTGCAAAATACTACATGAGCTTTTTTGCTGCTGTGTGTATATGAACACATTGAAATCAAATGTGGGAAAACGCACACAAACGGGACGCACGTTCACGCCACACGCAGTGGACGTTTCTCAGAAACAAGTATTGTTTGATGGAGGGTGAAGGCAGATATGGGACCAGGTCGTTGAAGGCAACTTACACCATAAGTATACATCTTACTTAATGTGAGGGAAATTCCAAAATGTTACAGTTGCCACTGAAAGAGCAACAGAGGGAAATTTTCTATAGGGGGGTCACTTTGCTGGGGATAACAAAGAGGGGATATCGCCTCACCTCCTCCTGTGTCTCTGGGACAGGAAGTGAAATCTCCCAAACAGGACACAGCAACATAAACAAAAAGCTTCTAATGAATCCCCGCTCCATGTGCTGTACACACACTGTGCAGAGCTGGCCGCTGACATCATAACCAAACCCAATAATTGGAAAATTAAAGTTTGCAATGGTGTACAGAACAGGGGTAGTTGTGGTGAAACTACAAATCCCGTCATGCCTGTGACTGTCGGTCTTGCAATGTCTCATGGGACTTGTGTTCCACAACAGCTAACGTGCTATAGAAAATGGATTTACTCAACAATAAATCACAAACAAAAAACGAAACGCTTCAAAAAATTCCCAGGGTGCCATGGCCGGAAACACAATATGGTGCCTGCCCTGTGAGAGCCGAACTTCTCCATATTGGTGCCCTTCCTAATGCCTCCGATATGGCGTCCTTCCTTCTGTCGAAAACTCAAGTCCTCCAGATCTCCAACGACCTGACTTCCGGTTAGTTAGAAGTAAGAGGTTTGGCCGAGAAGGCTGTACTGCACGTGCGCCACCCGCGGGATTTCTCTATACACATATACTACACAGCAATAAAGTATTATAATGAACTAGGATCAGAATAATCCAGCTCGTAATTAATCTGAGTTTCCCCTGAGTTTCCCCACTTAATATGGGCGCCGCTTGCGCCTCTTTCTTGAAGTCCGTACAATAGAGCTGGTTCCGTAGACCGCGTACTTATTGAAGTGCAAGCAGATACATATGACAAAATGGTTCCGCGAATGGAGACATTCAGCTATGAGTGTTAGCCCTCTAGTGAGTGTAAAGGACAAGTGAAAACCGCGGTCAATTGGATAAGCCGTAGCTCCGCCCTCCTATCCTATTGGCAGAGCAGTGTAGGCCTATCATCACCGCGCGCGTTTTGGCGACGTACTCGGCTGAGTTTTTTACGTCATCTCCGTGCGCCTTTGCACGGGTTGTCGTCATTTGAGAGCGCGAAAGCGGTAACGCCATGGGCAGCGATTTCTACCTCCGATATTACGTGGGGCACAAGGGGAAGTTTGGACACGAGTTCTTGGAGTTCGAGTTCCGACCGGACGGTGAGATGTGGGCAAGGGAATACTATGACTGGGAGGGGCAGGCGCAGGGTGCCTGAGTATGCTTGTGCGGCCCTGGGCCATGCTGGGAATGTTCACAATCCCTCCTGTGTGTCCTGTACGGGGAATCCTCGGGATGAGGGTCACAAATCCAGGACCCTCCCCTATCTCTGGGTTGAATCTTTAATGGCAGATAACATTTTACATTGTAGATGGTGAATGCAGCCTAAAGTCTTTACAGAGTTTGTGAACCCGAGCAATAAACTTCTCTGATCTGTTCCCCTTTGTTCGGATCAGTGTACTGCTGAAAGCATTTTGTTTAATGTGTTTGATAAGTGTGAAAAGAACCAGTTCATCCAGTCAGAGCTGTCCTGTGTCCTCTGATCGCTCCCGGTATTATCCAATGAGCCTTCCTTGGTCTTTTTAGGAACTACAGAATGATTATCCTTTATGTTATAAAGATATGAGAGGGGGAGTGGTTGAGTAGTTTAGTAAAATGACATGCGGGGGAGTGCTGACACCACTCAGTCTACAAAAAAAGCTGCGTTGTCCGACCACAACAAGACTTAGTGAAACTAAACTCAGGAATTAAACCTTAAAAATACATTCAAGTACCCTAACTATTAGGTTTAGTGTCACCAAGTCTTGTGGGCTGACATACACTATTTTTTTTGAGATCGCACTGGAACGCAGGGCATTGCGGTACCACCCGTTCAGTGTGAGCGATCACCTTGCAGGCGGGAGGCGTGTCTGCGGTGCCATTAAAATTACGTTTACCTAGGCACTGGACATACACTTTAAACTTCCTGGCGGTAATCCTGTGTGGCTCGGGGTTAATTTTCAGTACCAAAAGCGGCAACCCCGAACCACACTCAGGATAGCACTGTGTGTCACTTACCTTGTCCCTACGAGCCCCGCTGTGTCCTCCGGGCGATGCCAGCATCCGGATTCCTTCCCTTGCGAGCTCCTGCGTTGCATGGGTGCGGAACCAGCGGGAAATTCAAAAGTGAAAAAATACAGAGATAATCAGACCGCCAGGGAGGTTAAAGTGGCCCAAAAGTCAAGAAGTAAAAATCTGCTACATCTAGGGCTGCAACCCACTAATCGATTAATGGATAATGAGTATAGTTGTCAACTATTCTCATTATCGGTTGGTTGGATCCTCTAGCTCAGGGATGGCCAAACGCCGGCCCTCCAGCTGTGGTGAAACTACTAATCCCATGAAGCATCTCTCTCTCTGGGAGTCGTGGCTGTGAGAATCTTGCAAAGCCTCATGGGATTCGTAGTTCCACCACAGCTGGAGGGATGCAGTTTGGCCATCCCTGCTCGAGCTCTTTCCTCTATGCTGGAAGGAGGGCACAGCAGGCAGTGGTCGGGTGCAATAGCCAGTCTGCTTTTGCAATTTGAAATGGCCAATATCAGGCTGACTATTGCGCCTGCTGTATTTACAGTTAGCTCCCACCTGTGGAATCTTTCCACTGGCAGCTGTCATTCCCTGGCTGAAGCTATTCAAGCGTCATGTGCTTACGATAAAATTATTTTAGAAAAAATAATCGGCCACCTGATCAATTGTGAAAATCATTAGTTGCAGCCCTTTCTTTATGAAGTTCAAATACTGACTTTTTTCCCCCTCTTACCAGGTAAACTTCGATATGCCAACAACAGTAACTACAAGAATGATGTTATGATCAGGAAAGAGGTATGCTGTAATATCCCCTATGCATTAAGTGCTGTGAAATGAACTGTGTACATAATGAGTTGTATCTGTCCCTTTAGTCGGGGATTCTAAGTGTGTGTGTCTGTCTCTCAGTATTGTGCCCTCTGACTTTTAGTATAACATGCTGTTTTGGTCGTCTTCCCATTTTGTGGTCTAGGCTTATGTACACAAGAGTGTGATGGAGGAACTGAAACGAATCATAGATGACAGTGAGATCACAAAGGAAGATGACGCACTGTGGCCCCCACCAGACAGAGTCGGTAGACAGGTGTGTATTGATTGTCCCTCTTGGTCATCTTTTAATGAACACATCGGAACTGTGATGGGGAAAATTGATTGGCTGGACATTTTCAAATCTGCTTCAATGTTGGATTCCTGATTTATCATATGAGTTGGGAGGAGGGATATATTTTTAACAGGGCTGTGAATCTATTTTCACTTGTGCAGTATTAAAGATGCATTGTTACCTGAAGCAAAGAGACAGCCTGTGTAAAGCTGACCTACTGATGTCTTTCCAGCAGTGACCTTAGGCTCTTTCCTCAGTCACAGCAGGTGCAAATACTTGGTGCTTCTGGGTAGGAGGGAGCATGTGACCTTCTCCCATAATGCAGTGTTCAGGCCTAGCATGCAATCGCTAGGCTTAAGCACTGTCGCATGAGGAAACCTTGCCCCTCCCTTTCGTCACCAACACTGGATAATTTGGTGGCGGTTGGGATGAATGTGTGATCAACCAATCAGGATTTCTTTAATCTGTCAGAACAACAACATTTTCCAGCAGCAATATATAAGGTGAGCATCATTATAAGCAGTTTATGGAAGTTCTATCCATTCAGGTGGGCACTCTTATAGTACAGCTGTCTGTAAATATCGGTGCTTCAAGGCCTCTGCGGTTTTAACGCTGCCCAGTTGCCTGCTACAATGTCCGCACTATGGCTGAACAGTGCTGTATACATTGCTGCGGTGCGGCAAAAAATATACAGCATGTCGCGTGGGGCAGTTGGTGACGGCCATGGCAGTCTATGTGGTTGCAGGCAATATTGCAATAGAAAAGCCCCAATGGGGTTGAGGAAAATGCATTCTGGAGGCAGCAGTATCACCTCCTAACCACTAGGCAGTCAATGCTCCACTGCCCTCTGAAAAGCGATCCACCATGGATTACATTTCCGAGGGCAGTGGAGGCTGCCGCCTGTGTGAACTCAGCCTTACAAATCAGATCTGAAACCATCATTTGTGCTGTGTGTGGCCATTATTGCATTCCCCAGTGCTTCCCTGGACTTGTGCCTCCTTCATTGAAAACAATACAAATACATGTCTAGTCTGTACGTTGATGATTTTCTACCGTTTTATTGCAGGAGCTGGAGATCGTTATTGGAGATGAGCACATATCTTTCACAACTTCCAAAATTGGTTCCCTTATAGATGTGAACCAGTCCAAGTGAGTAGTGGCTTTATCAGTTTTCCTTATGAAAATGGTTGACTGCATAATTTTATTTTCTAATTTTTTGTGATGTGGGAATCTCAGTGATGATTAGATTGCAATCAGCTGATGTATAAAAACAGGAAGAAGGGAAGTCTAGGTCATGGATAGCCAGCAGCTTTGTTACATTGTCTTTAGCTGCATTGAGAACGATAAAAAAACAGTTAAAGTCCCCCATTAACCTTAACAAGGGCCATTGTGTGTATTTTTAAATCATGCTGGGTAGGGATGCCCTGATACTAGTATCTGTGCCGATACAGAGTATTTGGGCAAGTACTTGTATTCGCCCAAATGCTTAGATACCGGAACTTCGGTCAGCGGAAAGTTTCCTCTGACCGGCAGTGCCGTAGGGGGACATGAAGCCGGCTGGGCGGCGAGTAATGTCCCGGCTTCCTGATTTGCCAGGAAGCCGGCTCCGTGCTGATTGGCTGAAAAGCGGGCTTCCCATCAGCATCGAGCCGGCTTCCCGGGCAATCAGGGAGGAGGGTCATTACTCTCTGCCCGGCTTTCTGATTGGCCGGGAAGTCAGCTTGATGATTGGCCGCCAAACCGCCTTCCCAGCCAATCAAGTCGCTCAAACAACATGAGCCGACTTCTGGGCAATCAGGAAGTGAGGCGGCATGTCATTACCCGCTACCCAGCTTCCTGATTGCCCGGGAAGCCAGCTCCATGCCAGTGGAAGCCCCGGTATCAGTACTCTATTGGCGAGTACAGAAAGCAAAATATCGGTACTCAATACTGAAAAACCGGTATCGGTGCATCCCTAACGCTGGGGTTAAATTCATTTTGTCGGTTTAGCTTAACTTTAAGTTGTATGTAGGGATAGTGATGGACAAATTATATGTGTAGCCAATCAGTAGCCAGCCTGTCCAATCCACGAGCCTTCAAAGCGGAACTAGAAGATGTAATGTAAAAAATTGGTGTCAGGTAAGTATTTATAGTAATATAGAGTCTCTTCTGCCATAAAATCTCTTCCTCTGGCTACTAACTGTTATTTTACTAATTGTGCACTGATGGCCACACATGTGCAGATCGGTGTACAATCCTGGCATCTGTACCATGCAAGGAGTAAGTGCTGGGTGTCTGAACACAGTAACTCATGCTGCAAGCCCAGAAGACAATGAAAACGCTAGGGGGGGGCATTTTGTTGCTAGGGGAAGGGGGATTGGAAGGTAAGTGTGCCATAATATTCACATATACTCAGCATACTTGTACATTGTGGCAAGAGCTGCTGCGAAAACCAAGATGACTTTTGTGTATTGTAGTGAAATCAGTTAAAGGTTCTGATTGGTTGTTCCCAGTTTAGGGTGCTATAAAAAAAAAAAGTCTGAGCTGTTGTCAGAAAGCACTAATGGCTTGTACTGAACATCTTTGATTTAGAGCTTGTTTGTTTCTTTTTCAGGGACCCCGAGGGACTACGAGTTTTCTATTACCTTGTTCAAGACCTAAAGTGTCTGGTCTTCAGCTTGATTGGACTTCACTTTAAAATTAAGCCCATTTAGTTCTCTGGGAGAACAGTGAATTTTTATTTTATTTACATTGGATGTGGATCTAAGGGTTTTTTATGTGTTTCTTTTGTTTTTACTGACTTGACTTTAATAAAATTGTTAAAAGAATTTCTTTCATGTGTGACCAGATTATTTAAGTTGCACTGATTATTAGCAACGTTGGATGGTCTTTGTGGTAATTGCTCCATAAGCATCTATTAGGGGATGTGCGCACAGTGGTCCTTCGTTGCTTCAGTGTAGTGGCCATTAATAGTTCTGCCCAGAGCATTAACGTAGAAGTTCAGGCTTTAGAGCAGGGGTAGCCAAACTCCGGCCCTCCATCTGTGGTGGAACTACAAATCCCATGAGGCATTGCAAGATTCTCACAGCCACAGACATGACTCCCGGAGAGAGATGCATCATGGGATTTGTTGTTTAATCACAGCTGGAGGGCTGGAGTTTGGCTACACCTGCTTTAGAACATCCCACCTTTTACATGCTGCTGTCCCATTGCCTTTTTTTGTTTTTGTTTTTCCTTGTTTTTTTTCTGTGAGCACAAAGCCCCATCTCCTCTGTGATGTGTAGATGGTGGAAGGGAATTACCCTCCAGCAACAGCTACAGCGGTGGGCACCAGTGGGTGATGTCAGTGCTCTATGCAATTCAGACCCATTGTCCCATGTCCACGTCGCACAGAGGAGTTGTGGATTTGTGTTCATGTGACCACATAGAAAACTGAGTGTGACAAGAAAAAGAAGCTATTTAAATGCTAAGTAGTATGTAGCGCAGTGGAGAGGCAGCATGTTAAAGGTGGGGTGTTATATACCCTGAACCTCTACTTTAACAGAGACCCGTGTATTTGGCTATGATTATCATTCAGATGTTTGTACAGGAATGATAAAGCTCTTGTTGACTTCAGGGGACATCATGTGCATGCAACCAGGAATTTCAGGAGAAGTTAGCGATTGGAAGCCCACCTGTGTTCTCTCAATACTGGTTTTCTATAAGCTTCAAGCGCAATGTTCAAATAACATTGACCTGTTGCATGTTGGGTGGCTGTGGGGGACTGCACTATATTGCACTAAACTGTCAGACTAGGAAATGGTAGCTGGTGTATTTTGAAGGGAAACGTGAGCTGGAAAGATCATATCGCCCAGGCAGGGTTTCTTTTTTTAAATATACAGTATATAAAGATTTATCCCTGCTACGTGCAAGCCGTGGCCGCTAAAGCCACTGTTCTCCTCTGCCGCCATTTTACATGCACACAGCTGATCTGCAGAGAGACTGACTCTGCCCTGTGATTGGTTATCATCGTGATCATGTGCTAATGTTTACATTAAGCCCTCCCCTTCCTTTTGCATCAGACGGGAGAGTACAGGAAGTAAGGAATGGCTATCATCTATTCCTTAGATTCTGATGAAACAAAGTGTAGCAGCAGAGAAAAAAAAGTTTCAAATAAATGTAACCCTTTCAGCCCCATTCCTCTCCTGCTTGTTATCTGCACTTGAATCGGTATATTAACTCTTTCGCATCCCTTATTGTGTACATTTATACATTAAACCCTTCATCTCCCTCTGTACGAGCCTGCACCAGCGCTAAGGGGGCAATTCAGCTGGTCCCCCTCTGAGGACTCCACACCTTCCTCCTTGTCTGGATCCGGTAAGTTCCTATGTGTATCCGGGACTGACAAGTTTCATGGACAGGGACTGCTGACACTTGTAGTGCCCTCACACAGGACACCAGGACTGTCATATAATGATTATGTTCTGTTTAAGCTCACTATCTACTTGTTTTTGATTGAATTAAATTATTTTTAGGTCTGTCTTCTAAGTTACTATCAATAAAGATCTTATTTTAATACTGTTGGTTATAATTATTTTTTTGTATTGGGACAAGTAGATTGGCCCCTGCTTTAGTCCTTGGACAAGTGGCGTGTTTTTTGTTTTTTTTATTTCGGCACCAATGCAAAATGTATGTTATCAAACCCATGGAAACAACCTTTTTCTTTTTAATCATGATCTGTCTTCATGATACTTTTGCCTACTTACTGTATGGGTATTGACACAGTAAGTGAGGGGGAAAATCTCACCAATTTTCAGATGGCCATAAAAGGCTGAGAGGGATTCCAACCCTTCCCTGTGGTTCCCAAAACTAAGTGTTGAATACAACCCTATGTAACTCTCAACAAATAACCTCACCGGTTAAATTGGTTTCCTTCAGCTAATTAAACCATCTCTAAAGTGACAAAGAAGCGCTATTACCCACAGATTATAAATGCATGATTGATAATTGACAAAGTTGGATTAACGTGACATTAAAGTCAAAATAATGTTTCCCCTCCCCCCATGTTAGTCAGCACTTAAATGATGTCTCTTAATCCGATCTTCTTTCCTGATGTTTTCATCTGTCCCTCCAGCGGTGCGGCGGCTCTCCGATCCAGCGCTGACTGCTCTCTGTCTCCGATCCAGCTGTGTCTGCATGCCGGTGCACGCGCCCATACACTTAGCTTGCGTCTCTGCTCGTCTCGCGGCCGAGAATCCAAACTGCGCATGTGTCCGCCCCAAGATGCTTTGTGGTCGCCCGAGCAGTTTCATTTTCTCGGGCGGGAGCGCGCAAATAAGAAAAAGGTAAGTTTAAACCGCTGTTTTAGCGTGTTTTTTTTAAAAACTGTTTGCCTATATCTACTGCTTGATAGCAGTAGATATAGGCAAAAAAACGGGAGGGTTTAGAACCCCTTTTAAGTGTAATTCATAAGGGACATGTGCAAAAAAATAGTAAAAAGTGACTCACTGTTAGATGGAGGTAATGGGTGAGTCGGTAATCCACTGATGGAGGAGATCTGCTCTGAAAACTGAGCGCGAGGAGAGGAGCCGTTGGCTGGGAACATACTAGGCACTGAATGGTTCTTGTTCTTTCCCTTCTGGCTTGACAAAGAGGCACTGCCTCGAAACATGCGTTTATAATCTGGGTAGTAACGCTTCTTTTTTTTTTTTGTCAATTTTGCGCACAGGGTTCCTCTCCCCGTTTAAGGAGCCAGCACACCCGCCTATACCATTAACCACACTTACCCATTTCTATTATCGTGCGCAAACCACATTTTCCGTTTTTTACATCTCTAAAGTGAGCAGACATTTTACTGTAACACCACTTTGTTTCTATGTAAACCAAGAAGCTAACAGCCTGTGCACTGCTGGGCATTTTGTAGAAGACTGCCTGGATTTGACTGCCTGGAATTGTGTGTTATCAATCTGCTTTAGATGATGGACCCTCCTAAGGTACTGCCATAGTGCATCCTTTTGGCATTTATATGGATGAAAATGCACAGGTGCTGTATATCAGTGCTCCCCAACCTTTTTATCGCCGGCGACCGGTCAACGTTTGATAATTTTACCGTGGCCCGCTGAGGGGGGGACATTGTTTATATTTTAGATTGGTTTGATTTAATCATTTTAATTTAATTGTATTTAAAAATGCCTTCAAAATAAAATACAGTTACACCAAAAAATGAAAGCGTTGGAATTCTTCACCTATTCCACCACCGAAAAACTGGGCAAGATTACGTTAAAATGTGTGACCACGTCACTGGTCACACATTCTAACGCAGTCTCAAACTTTGATAGATCACATGCCTACCTGTAATCATTTAATCAGAGAAATAGATTATAATAGGGAACATTAAGGTGTAATATTCCCCATTATAATCCACGTCTAATGACATGACGTCTCCTGTGACTCACCTCCCCTCCCGCCGCCTGTTACTATAGATGCGGCCGGGAGGTGAGTCACAGGACCCGCCCCCTCACTGTGAAGCCCGTCGGCAGTGCGGGGCCCCGGTGTTCGAACACCGGGACCGTGCACTGCCATATATTGCATGACCGGACCGCACTGAGACTGTGCGGCCCGGTACCATTAGATCCGGGGGTTGGGGAACACTGCTGTTTTTGACCACCCTCCATCAATATACAGAACAGATCTGTCATATGCACATGGAGCTGCAGTGGATTTCAGACAAAACAGCACTCATGTCTGCGCTGAAGTCTGCTGTATGTATTGCAGAGCTAATTATTCCATTTGTCATTCTTGAATTATGTTGGGACAAACTTCCACCTGATGTGTCTAATTGTGTATGTAGGCTGCCAGACACCGTCTTGGGAAAAAGAATGGAATAGAATGGCTCTGCTTGTGCTCTAACCAGGAAAGCATGTGATACTTTTGAGTACAAAATGTTCCCGTGGATCTCTGCACTGTACACTATAGCCTCTGGAGCGATGGTGCAGAGGTTCACAGAGACCCTTAAGTTTGCAGCCTCTTCCAAATGCCAATGGCGTCATATCAAGGTAATGAATTTCCTGGATTTAGATGCCAGAAAGGCGTGTTCCAGAAAAAATAAATCCATCAATCAAGATTAACTCTCATTATAGTAGCTTCCACCTCTTATAAAATGATATAAAATGATATCTATACCGCTCCAAGCTCACTCACATGATGGATTACAATCTCAATATAAATTAGTAACCTAAACATGAGATTGTAGTCCATCACATGAGCGAGCTGGGAGCGGTGGATACTTTATAACATACACAGGGGCCATGGGGAACAAAAGTAGCCACCCTCCAGAAGGAAGGGCAGTGTCAGCACCAATTCAGAGATGATTTGAGGACCTGCAGCCGAGTGATACACAAATAAGATACATTGTTGTTAATAGTTAAGATATGTCTAGTTTGACCAGACTAACGGGGTTATTCTCTAAACCAGGGGTCCTCAAACTTTTTAAACATGGGGCCAGTTCACTGTCCCTCAGACATTGCTGGGGGCCGGATCATAGTTTGAAAAACGGGGGCGTGGCTGTGGTGCCGCACCGCCACGCCCCCTCCCGTCCCAGAACAAAAGGTTTTTTTTACATTATGTTAGGAAACATTTATTATCACCCAATTTTTTGGTAAAATATAAAAGTCGGGGTCACATCGGATAAATAGACACCAAACATGTCAAGCTTACAAATTGCGCGCACCCGCTAAATCGCAAACAAACAACATACCCAAAACTGACCATAGGCGACGCTTTAAAAGCTTTTACCGCTCATCAGTTTAGT